GAAAATGATGAACCCGTAGGATCTAATCATGTCGACTTGCCCCTTAATATAATGATGCCCACTTTTTTCGCCAACCATGCATTCCAATAAATCAAAACAATGCCGGGAGCCTATGACCATTAAGCACCGTCATCTACACAAATCCTCCGTTCCTCTGACCTTGCTTACCCTTCGTTACCATCCCGTGCTCAGTTGTGGGAGATCCAAACCAACGTACGCAAAATTCACAGAGAAGAATAACATGCCACGTGCAAAAAGATTATAATAACGGGCAGGCCAGCCTCCAGACGTCCGGCCCTAGGTCCGTGTCCGGACGCAGATCCCCGCGCCCCGCGCCTGCTCCATGCCACACGCCTCGTCTGCTTCGGATTCCGCTGCTCGAACACTCGCCCCACCCACGCCGCCCGAACATCACGAGCATCGAGAAGTGGAGACACCGAGGCGAGACAACAGAAAGCGAGAACGGAAATACAACACCCGATCTACTTTTGAAATATCTAATAAAATATTTGCAACATACGTTCAAAGCAGTTGAAACACTTACAACATACGTCTGAAACATTTTTAAAACACCTAGAAAACACTTGAAAAAGCCATTGCAAAATATATGCAACATCTAGATAAAATACATGCAACATATGTGTAAAACACATACAACATCCAGATAAACACACTTGCAAACATACGTGTGAAAAAAATAGATGAAACCTTTAGAACAGACGCTTGCAATATATGTGTACATCCATTGCAACATATGCAACATCTCGATCTAGTTTTGCAATATCCATATGAAGCACTTGTAACATACCTCTGAAATATATGAAACACTTAAAACATACACTTGCAACATGCGTTTTCAAGCGCAACATCTATTTGCTGCTTGGACAAATTGAGGCTCGTCGACGCGGAGCTCGATCGTCGGCTCAGAGCTCGATGCCGTGGAGTCGCGGGGGGAGGGGGGGGGGCAATGGCCAATGGGTGAGCGGCTCGGCGCAGCCCCGACGAGCGGCTGCGCCGCTCCCAACGAGAGGACGGGCAGGTGCGGTCTCGCGGCGAGGCGGCCCCGCGGTGTGCTGGAGAAGGGGAGGCGGCGGGCGTGCAACCACGGGAGGTTGCTGCTGATGTTGCTTCTTGTCTGTCAGCGGCAGGGGAGGAGGAGAGATGGCAAGAGTGGGAGGTGACGACGGCGGTGCGGAGCCGAGGCGGAGGAGGGAGAGGAGCAGGAGCAAGGAGGAGAGCGAGGCCGGGAAGAGCACGAGCGGCAACACCGGAATAGGAAATCAGCATCCTATTTTTTAGATGGAGAAGCCATGAGGGGAGCAGACATATTGGGTGGAAGGGACGCGGACGACAGATGTTAGTGGGGAATCCGCGTTCGAACTCCCGGAGACAGGAGCGAAGCTACGTATACATTAGTGGGTGCAAATGCACCCACAACAAAAACAAAATTTAGTATTAACTATCTCACATTCACCGCTTGTGCACCCCCCCTCAATCATTGATCATGCACCCCGCACGAGCCAACATGGAAGCGTGAAAGCTCAGACCAATGGCAAGCAAGTAATTATTACTTGTTTGCAGATTATCTCCATCATAGGGATAGATACAAAATTGATGTCCAGATTTGTATTGTGTTCAGGGTACAGCTAGGCTCGATATCAAGTACACATAAGAATAGTACGGTTTATTTAGATAGGCTAAGACTAATTATTAGCCAAGCTAAAAAGCTAGCTAAGAAATTAGCCATCTAATTACTAGTCGGTGTATGTTTGTATCCTTCGCTAATGGGCTAACAACTAGTCAAGGCTTGTTAAAAAATTAGGCCTCCTATTTGGGTGAACTGAGCAAAATTTCAGCTACAAGTTGTTAGCCACTTAGCCTATATGATCCAAATAGACCCTAAGTATAGACTCATTTTTCATTATTTCATAATCATTAGGAGCTCCCATTATATAGTCTTGATTTGTCAAACTATACAGTTCAATAAAATTTTAGGATTTAAATGGCTTGGCCATGGTAATATGCCATTTGAATTACTAATGTCATCTGATTATGTGGCAAATAATCGACATCTAATTTTGTATACACAAACTCTACACACATTTCAAGGGATGTCACGTAGGTCAAACTTTGAAAAATGTGTAAATGCTTGAGCGCCTCTAAACTTATTAAGAGGTGTCACTTAGGTTCTGCGAACTTAAAAAAAAACATTTCTAGTTCCCTAAATTTGTTAATAATGCACCATAGTAATTGGTATAGTCCAGAAATGAACCTGCAATGCATCATTTTACAAGTTTAGAGTGTGCAGTGCACCATTTTAACCTATGTGGAAGCCCACAAGTTCAGACATTGCCGATGCATTTGACTCTTAAAAAACGAATTTTACCATGTAAATTTTTGCATATGGTTATGTACTATTGAAGTGATGCACCTCCTTGTTTCAGCTCTAGCTTCGCCACTGCCCGGAGAAGAGAGTTATCGTTATAATAAAGATCCAAAGTTCATTAGCCACAATAACATCCTTGCCATGACAGGCTACAGTCTACGATCCAAACATGCCGTTCCAAGCGCAAAAAGCCCATACTCGAAGCACGGGGCCCTCCGATCCGAAGTGATGACCAGCAGCTTGCTTGCCAGCTTCCGGTGCACCGGGACTCCGATCCAGGAAACATACGCATCACATCCCAATCCGGTCCCGTCCCGTCCCATCCGCGCGCGCGTCCCGGCCCCCGGCACCGGCCCGACACGCCGGTCGGCCGCGCGCGCGCCCTCGCTCTTCGCTCTTCGCTCTCACCACCCGAGGCGAACCGCACCGCGCCGCGACACCGACCATCCGATCGCGCGCCCCCGCATGTGGCGGCCCCGCCGCCCGATCCATCGTTTTCCGCCTCCCGCGATGGGAGCGGCCGCGGTGGAAAAGTGGAGGCAGCCGGAGCCCACGGCGGCGGTGTCGGCCCGTGATTCGGTGATCCCCCCACGCGCCAGCGCCCCGCGCCGACCGCGAGGGCGGGCGAGACGCTTTTTCCCCGGCTGGGGACCTGGGGTCCGTCCGGCAGCCTAAGTGCCTAACCGTCGAGGGATTAGGACGGCTCACCGTCTCCTCTCTCAACATCGATCGATCGGTTTGCAGTTTGCTCTGACTTCTGAGTTGTACATTTAAAAAGCACAATACGGGCTCCTGATACATTTCTTGCTTGCAGGTCTGCAGCAGAGTCGCAGAAGATACAGTCAATGAAACACTCTCTCTCCAGTTCTCCATTCATGGTTCGCTCGCCGGTGCATCAGTTTGAACGACGCTGGTTCCTTCATTTGTTTTCGGCACGATTTCGACCCTCTTCTTTTTAGCCGCCGGATCGCTGCTCGCATGTATGAAAAAAAAAGTTGCCGATGAACTAATGTAATACTCCGTACTACTTTTATAAGGAGATGGGCATAGTCTCAACCGACACACACCATATGATTAGCGTGACGACGAATTCTCTGCCTTTTGAAGGAAAAAGGTGTGGGTGGGATTAGGTCAGTGGACAGCGTAGGATACCTGTTCGGTCCAGGTCCACTGAGACCACTGAGACCGGGTGTTGAACTGGTAGTCGCCACCTGTCACCGGACCAAACCGCGGTCCGCGCTGCCTCAACGGCGATGATCCACCTGTTCGCATGGCCTGCAGATGCGGTTTTATTGTGTGAAAAAAATAATATATCATAGCTGATAATTACAGCTGATACGATCAAAGAAACTGGCTGTGTCAGAAGACGACAGCTCAAGCAATCCGATAGTACAGTATACTTCCCTTCATCATATTTGAAGAAGCTCTCGGTGGTTCAACAGAAACAGATTACCCACCACCAACGAACTCTGCTCGATATTGGGTAAACAATGCATGCGTGCTGAAATAAAATTGAGCCGCCTGCCTCCAAAAAAGAACTTGACAGCAGTCAGCAGGTGGCATTTTTAGCATAGCTGTAGCCCCCAAGACATAAATTTATAATTTTATTAGAATGAAGCAAAAGTAGTTATATGTGTCTATTCCAAAATAAAAACATAGTTATTGACCCGATTCTTTTTAATATACTCATAGTTCCAGCTTTACATTTCTTGGAGCTACGTCAAACCCCTAATGCCTCCCTCCCTTGATGACCTACATTATAACACGAAAACACGCTGATCTACTCCTGCAAATTTAGATTAGCTACTCCACCTTCCAAAAACACTGTGACTTAGTTTTGTTAAGTCAACCCATCTTAACTTCGATCAAATATAAATAAAAACATACTAATAATATTTATATACCAAATAAAAAGCATATATAAATTTATCATAAAACATGTTTTTATAGTATACATCTTTAGAGTCATATAAATATTGATACTATTTTTTTATGAAACTTAGTTAAATTTAAGATAATTTGGTTTAGGTCAAACATACAGTTACATTTTTTTTTTCTAGGGACAGAGGCAATATTACTTGCAAAACGAAAAGGAATATATGCCCCCCAAATCAAAAGAAGCAAATGGGATTTTGGGGAGGGGAATTATAAATTGATAAATATATATAGATATAATAAATAAAGAGAAAAGAAAAGCGAATCGAGCAAGCAAAGGCAAAGGGAGACAGCATTCCCTATTGATTTATCCACAGCAGCGGCGGCGGCAGCAAGCACTGCACCAGCACACACCATCGTCCAGCGCAGCGCGGCGCCCAACCAGAACGACGAAACGGAGCCAGCCAACCAACCAACTAACCAACGGACGGAAGAGGCGAGGCAAGGCCGCCGCCAAGCCGAGCCAATCCGGCCGCCCTGCCCTACCCGCTCTCTCCTGCCTTCTCGGGATCTGCCCGCCCGCCTTGTGTGATCTCGCCGCCCCCGCCCGCGGTTGGAGCTTCCGGCTGCACGCCGCCATGAATCCCCGCGCGTAGAGGCCGGGAGGGAGGGAGGCAGCGGGGAACAAAGTTAAGCTAAGTGGGGGAGGCCAGAGCAGGGTCGCCGTTACGCCGGCGAGATGGACGGGAGCGCCGGCTCCTTCGTCGCCGTGCGCCGGCTCTCCGGCTCCGACCGCGCCGCCGCCTTCCACCACTCCTCTTCGGGTGCCTCATCTCGCCTCCGATATGGCGACTGTTGTTGCTCCCGCCTCCCGCCACGGGATGACGCTTATGGTCTGTGCTGTTGCTGCAGCGGAGGTCGTGACGGGGTCGACGGCGTGGATCGGGAAGGGGCTCTCCTGCGTCTGCGCGCAGAGGAGGGACAGCGATGCGCGCCTCTCCTTCGATTTGACGCCTGTGCAGGTGGGATTCGTCTATTTCTTTACGATTTGATTTGATTCCCAATATGCTCTTGCGGTTCTGAAGCTGTGCCAGATTCTCGACCATGTCAATGAAATTTGAAATATCTCGCTGAGTCGCTGTTTTGCCCCCTGAACTCATCCTGAACTTCAGACAACCCTCCGAATCTCGCATTGCTTCTGCTGTTCTGCGCCACCTGCGTAAAAGTTGCTCTGACTCTGTTAATTCACTTCAGTGCCTTTTTAACTGAAGTAGTTTGTTTATTAATTTGATGAATTACCCTGTCAACGAAATTTGAAATAACTCACTGTTTAGCCCCCGAATTTATCCTGAACTTCAGACCCTCCTCTGAATCTCGCATTGCTTCTGCACCACCTGTGTAAAAGTTGCTCTGACTCTGTTAATTCACTTCAGTGCCTTTTTAACTGAAGTAATTTGTTTATTAATTTGATGAATTTGGGTTTAACTGTACACTGCAGGATAGTGATTTTATGCACAGTTAACATATTCTCTTTAGCGTGTTTCAGGAAGAATGCCTACAGAGGTTACAGAACCGGATAGAAGTTCAGTATGATAGTGCAAACAGAGAGCATCAGGTACTTCTTAGGTTCCTATTTATGCTAAACTGTCCTTATGCGGTTCATCTCGTGTTACTTGTGAAATTCCATCTTCTCTTACAAACTGGGCGCATGCTATTTTCTCACAATTTTCTAATCAAAATATTCAGCACAAAAGGATCATCTCATATATGGGATATTCAATTGAGTGGCCATGAAATTTGACATGACTAGAAAATTGAAAAATCTAGCAGGTCTATAGATCTGAGCACTGAGCAAACGATATGAAGTACTTGCTGTTACTTTCGCACAACATAGATGATCTTTTTTGCAAGGACATCAGTTGTTGTGTTGCTGCTGCTCCTCCTTATGAGTTAATACTTAAAACTTAACCTGCTCGAATTACAATTATACATCTAAATCCAGATCATCCTTTTTGTATTCTGGTTTTGTTCATCTGTCCTTTCAGATGACATTTGAGAAAGCATAGCTAGTTAACCTGTTATCTCATTTTTCTTCTCTTAGGAAGCACTACAGGCCCTTTGGTGTGCTTCTTTTCCTGGCACCGAGCTTCGGGGTCTAATATCAGAACAATGGAAAGAGATGGGTTGGCAAGGGAAAGACCCATCTACAGATTTTAGGTATTACATTTTCTCCTCTGTTCCAGCTGCTATCTGTTACCTGTTTTCTCAGTAGTAACCTTAGTTAACCTAGAGAGTAGAGATGGGTGATCCTTTGTTGTGTTGGCATTACAGAGGTGGAGGCTTCATCTCCTTGGAGAATCTATTGTACTTTGCTAGGAACTATCCAGTGAGTGCAAATCCTTGTTTTTAGCAATATTTTGCTTTTGTCACATGCTTTTCTGTAATGATTTATGTGGCCTTAAAGACTTGAGGCTCTGATGTACTCAAGCGTTCAGCACTTCTGTTTGGAGCATAACAAACATGACCTAGATGGCTTGCTGAACGTAATCATTTGCAGGGTTAATAATAAGATGTGGCATATGCTGCTATTTTCTGGCTATAAATGTCTAATATTTCCTTGTTAAGCCCTTCAAAAAGGGAAAAGAAAAAAAGATTCACAGTACATGCTGTGGGCTAGACTGAAAAAAAGAGCAAACTACATCTAACAGAATAGGATGCTGAAACAATCTGGTTACACATGCGATTTATTTAAAACTGAAATGTTCATGATGATATGGCATTGTGATACTTAACTCAGATACTTATTGATACCTGCCACAAATCACTCCAACCAATTTTTCTGTGCAGAAATCTTTCCAGGAACTTCTTCGCAAGCAGAATGGTGACCGTGCAATCTGGGAGTATCCATTTGCTGTAGCTGGTGTAAATATAACCTTCATGCTCATTCAGATGCTTGATCTCCAAGCAGGTTTGTCAAGCAATAGTTCCTGCAAATTTTAAGCAATGTCAGAAGAAGTTTTTGACTATTGGTTCACTTTAAATTGTCCCTAATCTCGATGTCCTGTGCAGTTAAACCGAGGTCATTGTTCGGAGCAGTTTTCCTAAAGCTTCTTTCAGGTATAGTCTTTATTTCAGTAGTCTATTTCGGAACAGTCATCGTAACCTGCTAGAGCTGTTTATCACTAGTTTCTTTTGTGCCAACTATTCCTTGTACCATAAAGTTGTTTGTCCTTAGGTTGTTTTCTTGTGATGATGGCTATGATTGAAAGACAGTGTTTCATCAGTATGCATAAATTTAAACAAGTTCTGTGTGTTTATATGACCAGAATGGATCTGTTGATGGTTCCAGTTTGCTAAGTTCCACTCCATTGTTTTAAGGCCACATAATATAGTAATGCAGTAATGCTATCTTTTAGTTTACTTGTACTTCTCAGAGGTAGAAAACACTCAAATGTGAGCTGACTGAAGGATCTAGTTATTACTAACAAATGTTAATTCAATGTTTCGACTTCTGTTGTTCAGAAAACGATCGAGCTTTTGATATTCTTTACTGCATAACCTTCAAGCTGATGGATCAGCAATGGCTTGACATGCATGCTACTTACATGGACTTCAATGTATGTTCTTTTTTCCTCTAAATCTCAAAAATTTCCATATAGCAACTTCTCCTTTCTTGTCCTTATTTATAAAAGATCCACAGATAATTGAAGAGCCCACACATTGGGTCTTGGGAACTCTTGCTCACTTGACTGTATTATTAAACCTGCAGACGGTCATGAAATCAACGCGGCGTCAGCTAGAAAGGGAGCTGTTGATTGAAGATATTCAGAGGGTTGAGGACATGCCATCATACAGGCTTCTGGGCCGGTAGCTAGAAGAAACTGAAATCTTAACATGGCTACATGTTGCAAGGCTTGAGATGCTAATGGATTGCAACTTGTGTCCGCAGCCGACGACAATCTTGAAATGTAGATGAATATGTATCCTTGTGTGTTAGGTACTTGTGGTCTCTGGTAACCTGATCTCTGAAAATTACAAGGTAGAGTTTTTTTCCTGGTGATAGAAGAATGCCACGTAGGGTAACTGAAGTCTCTGATCAGCTGCCATGGCAAAAGTTTGTAGGGTGTGTTATTACAATCTGGCCGTTGTCCATCATACCACGAAAGGAAGTGTTCCTAGGGTTGTCGTTGTAAACAGGAGGATTTGGGAAAGATGATCTGAGTTGTCTCCCATTTGCATGAAGATAAGAGGCTAGTTCTTTAAGTGCGCACTGCACAGCAACTATGTCGTTTATTGGTTTTTTTCCACAATCTGTTTGCCCTGTTCGTGCCAAGCCTTCCCTGTATGTACACCAGTTCGCAATTTTCTTCCCATCCCACTGGTTTAGATACATGCATGCAGTTTTCTGTAATATTTATGGTTCATGGCTAATGCTGCGTCATCATATATAGCTTCAGTACTTTATAAGCTGTTCTTCAACTGTTGTCTATTAATAATAAGAGGCAATATATGTGAACACTTTATTGCTTTCGTGTGATCTTAAAATGTTAAATTTTCTGACAGGACAATCCGCAGCTGCCTGTCCAGTCTCCAGTGTGAGCGTCGTGACCAAGGACCGGCAGAATGGCAGGTGCGCTCCATGTAGGAGCAGCAATAGTGGGGGATGCGATTGCTGATTGGTAAGCGGGCACAGGGGGCGCACCATGAGCTGCCAGCCTGATGGCGGCCCCGGCCACCCGGCCAGTCCTCCGATTCCGTGTTCTTGATCCTGGTGGGGTGCCTGGGTGGTCAGGTTGCCTGGGCCCTGGGCCAAGGGGCAAATAAAGCTGCTAGGCATGCGTTTAGAGATGCCCAAGGTTCAAGAAGGCCAATAGGATTCCGCCCCGGGCCGGCGTCAAAGCGAACAATCTCATGCATGGCATTGGCATGTGGTGGCTAGCTTGCTGGATTTTGTCAGTGAGCATTTGGTTACGCATCAGTCCTCTGATGGACGGACAATCGACGATCATAGTATGCATATCGCTGCATGAGGGCATGTGCTCAGCTGATACGCTCTGGTGGCAGTGAGCCAGTGATGAACGACTGCTGATATGCTTCCATTCTTGTTTCCTTGTCCAAGAATATTGCTTGGAAGTAGCCAATGCAAGCCAATTTATTTATTCTCTATACTAGGTAGTTTGGGGCTGGTGGCAGTAGCTTCCATAGGTTCCGATCCGACCAATGAACACTCCAATCTCCTGATTAGACTCCCATAAATGGATCATTCTCACGAGATAAGATAACAATGGCACTACTCAAGCTAGTAGTAGTAGATGATATGTTCTAAGTAGAGTCCTAGATCGTGTCTCATGATCTTGTGGGTGGGCGTGTCGTCATGCTGTGATCTCATGGCGTATTTGACGTGCGTGCAGTCACCGAGATCAGATGATGAGATCTGCCCGTGTCGTCGTTTCGTCCCTGCTGCCGAGTGCCGACGACGACGATGACATGAAAGGCGGGCGGGTCATCATGATGACGAGGAATCGAGCAACTGATGATAGATTGCCGCCGCTGCCTTTCCCCATCCCATCTGTTGATACCGTTAGCTGTGTGTACGTGGTGTGTGCATACACTCTCCTACTACGTGTAGGAGTACGTCGAAAAGATCAGGTCCTTACCGTACCCACACAATTATATGCTCTTGTCGATATTGTTGTTCACGTTGTCCAAAGTTTCCAACACAAATAACGAACAGTTCCGCCAAAGAGAACAACCCTACGTACACATCATTAATTCGACAATAATGTTGCACGCACGGCTGAACAAGCAAACGAGTGCGCGTGATGAGTAGCGCTCGCAATGGCAATGGTACACACACGTCCACGCCCAGTGCCCAGAGGTAGCCGAAGGGGGTGCAGCCTGGTCCGGACCAGCATGTATGTTTGCACGCACGCGGTCGGGGATGCTGCTGCCATGCCAGCCTAAACTTATTAGCCAGTAGCTAAAATTTATAATATTTTTCTCTTACAACAAAACAACTTCAGTCGCTTATCAATTGGTTTTTTTAATATCAGCCGAACTGGCAGGACAGGCATTATACCGCCGCGAGACCCGCTTGATTTGACAATCCGATCGAACGATACGAAGCGAGGCGGGTGCCTGGTGGCAGAGGCAGAGGAGAGCGGCGGCCGCGCTCTGATACAACGTGCCGGGCCGGGACCGCGCGCTGTGTGGGGATAGATCATTCATAGACACGCAGCTGCACAGTGCATGCAGAGGTCGGCTGATGCATGCAGCGTTGGAGGTGGAGCGATGGTGCATGCATGTTTTGATTTTTTTTTTCGTGCGCGCTCGCTGGATTTGTCGACGAAATGATGCGGTTCCTGAGGAACGCATATGGGGCGCCGAAAGCCTGGCAGCAGACTTGCCAATGGCAAGCACGTCAGCTGTGCTGTGCGTCCACCGAAATCTACTGCGCTTTCATTTTATTTTAAAAGAAATTCAATTAATCCGCATTCCATTTTATAGGTCTTTTTATATAAAAATCTTTTCCGCAATTCCCTGTTTGCTTGAACTTATCAGCTATGATATATATTTTTTTTTTCTCTCACAACAAATCAGTTCAGCCGAAGAAACCATCAGCCGAACGCCTCAAGTCTAGTGTCACCACCTGAGACCTGTACCGTTTAGGTTCGGCGATACCTACGTACGTACCGCCCGGATCAGAAATTTGTAGGGTGCAGGTCAGAATATTATTCAATTAGGGTCAAAAATTCAATCAGCCGTGAAGTTTTTTTTTGTTTAGTTTATCCAAACCTCCTTTAAGGCCCATTCATTTATTGGGGATGGAACAGTTCCGGATAAAATGACAAGTCTATTTATAGTAGCAATATTCAGCTGGATTATTTTTGGTCCTCAGTGCCACTGCACGAACAAGACCTAAGGCCCCATTTATTTGTCTAAAAAAAGAAATCAAAATATTATTTTGATTGAAAAAAGAAGCCGAACAAATCAGATTTTAAAACAAGCGAACGAGACCTTAGTGCAAGTGGCAAAACAAACCTCCCCTATATCCGGATGAAACGAAAACAGTTAGCTGACATGGCCTTCTTCAGGTAGGTAGGTAACTAGTACTTGTGTCCGCAGCAGGCCTAGTATGGCCTCGCGCCCTAGTAATCACTGTAGCATTTCGTTTGTATTTGGTAATAATTATCCAAACAATGACTAATTAGGCTCAAAACGTTCGTCTCGCAAAGTACAACCAAACTGTGCAATTAGTTTTTGATTTCGTCAACATTTAGTACTCCATGCATGTACCGCAAGTTTGATGTGACGGGGAATCTTCTTTTTACATAGTGCCAAATTCTGGAATTTGGAGGAACTAAACACCCCCTATATCGGCATTACTGTTTGCTAGATCTAGGTTGGGGCAGCAAGCAAGAAGGCATGCAAGGCAGCAGCAGGGTATGGCCTCACGCCTTCACCCGCGCTAGCTCTTATCAACATGTTCGGTTGGCTAGTTTCGTTTGGTTGCTAGTTCGTGAAAAAGTACTGCTGATTGATTTGTGTGAGAGAAAAATATTGTTTCAGCTAAAAATTTACGATCATTTATGACAAGCCACAGCCAAACAAACGCTATATGTTCGTGCATATGTTTGCCCATATCCGTAGCCATAGATGATGGATATTATTACGGTGAGATCAGCTTTTGTTGTTTTTTTTTCAAAACACAATAGAGTAGACATATATAGGCACTCTTGGAACAGATCTAAAATGCACCTTTAGAAGATTTGTAGATGATAGATTTTTTCAGCTTTGGTTGGAGGTTAAACAGCTTGCATCCACTATTACCATCTCTAATGAAGACGATTCAATGGTTTGGCAATTTTCATCAAATAGAGTTTATTCCTCACAGTCTCTATAAGATTATAAATTGTAGAGGGGTTATGCCAGTATATACCCATGCTGTGTGGAAGCTGAAAATCCCTCCTAGAGTTCATTTTTTTTGTGCCTTCTCTCTAAGAATAAATTACTAACTAGGGATAATCTAGGTATTAGAAGAGAGCTTGAGGATAAATCATGTCTGTTTTACTCTGTGAATCTAGTCATCACTTTTTCTTTGACTGTGTTGTAGCCAAACAACTCTAGAATGTCTTTTCTGATCTGTCTGGTAGAGATATTGGCAATGATTTCCTTTCAATTGGGCAAATGTGGCTTAACAGTACCAAAATTGTAGTTTGTAACATGTTTTGTTCAGCAGCCCTGCGGGGGCTTTGGAAGCTAAGAAATAGCTTATGTTTTCAGGAGTTTCTATGGAAGGATATGAGTTCACTGCTCCTCATGATTGTGAACATGCTACAAGGGTCGATTATTCTCTGTCTACTAGAAAAGAAGATGGCATTTTCTTCAAACTTGAAGAACCTAAGGAATATGGTGTCAAGGCCGAGAGAACTGCTGGCTAGACAAGGTCCATAATGAATGGGAGAAGTATTTGTATCGGGTGGCTTTCAACTGGAAGAACATGGAGATTCCAGCTGGAATGGAAGACATGCTGCTGGATTACAATGAGTTGGGCAATGCTGATCTGGGAGGCAAGTGGGTTAGCCTGATAGGTCTAGGGATGTCTTTGGGGATGGAAGATGCTGTAGTGTAATGGCTTAGCTAAGTTTTGTTCTGTTTCTGCTAAAGTGATGTTTAACAATATGATGTAAACGGTGATATGGTCCTTGCTAATGCAATGGCCAGGGCTATGCCCTTGAACTCTAAAAAAGAAATATAGACACTCATCGGATACATACATATACGTTCATTCCTATGAACACAAGCCGCACGGGCGCACTAACTAGATAAGCACTTTTGAGCCGATAATACTTGAATTTAACAAAGACACCG